TCGATTTAGTCCTGAGTGGTGATCCCAGCAATTACAGACCGGTAAATCTAACGTCAGTGTGACGTGCAGTCTATATGGTTTTATAAAAATATGATAATAAGTGAATATAATGTAACTGGAATATGCTTCATGCAAAAGGTCTCTTGTAAGGTATCATTGCAAAACTTATAATCTACTAAGTGTGATCATCCTATTTGTATAAATGTATCACTCTTGTATCTAAAACTAGAAATATAAAATATAACTCTGAGGGCCTATTGTAATTATGCAAAGTGTTGGCCATTAATGGTGGTTTGGAATCTTGATGACTCCAATTAACCAGGACCATTGTCTGCAGATGGCTGTGTTTTACCTGTGAGTCTTCCTGTATATGTGTGTGCTGGAAACTGGGTAATGAAGTCTTGCAGTGACATGTGATCATGTCACCTGAACTGGAATCCATCTTTAGCCTGGTGCTTTTCCAGTGAGGGGAGGTGGAAACCCAGAGGGACAAAGGGTTCCTGCCTTATGCAAAAGATATATAAAGGGGTGGAACAGAACAAAGAGAGGAGAGGAGCCATCATGAAGAATCACCTAACTACCACCTGAGCTGGAACAAGAGCTGTACCGGGGAAAGAATTGTGCCCAGGCCTGGAAGGTGTCCAGTCTGAGAAAAAAAAACTTATCATCTCTGAGGATGAGATTACCTGTATTCAGTTTGATTAGACATAGATGTGCGCATTTTATTTTATTTTGCTTGGTGACTTACTTTGTTCTGTTACTACTTGGAACCACTTAAATCCTACTTTCTGTATTTAATAAAATCACTTTTTACTTATTAATTAACTCAGAGTATGTATTAATACCTGGAGGAGCAAACAACTGTGCATATCTCTCAGTGTTATAGAGGGCGAACAATTTATGAGTTTACCCTGCATAAGCTTTATACAGGGTAAAATGGATTTATTTGGGTTTAGACCCCATTGGGAGATGGGCATCTGAGTGCTAAAGACAAGCACACTTCTGTGAGCTGTTTTCAGGTAAACCTGCAGCTTTGGGGCAAGTAATTCAGACCCTGGGTCTGTGTTGGAACAGACGGGAGTGCCTGGCTCAGCAAAACAGGGTGCTGGAGTCCTGAGTTGGCAGGGAAAGCAGGGATAGAGGTAGTCTTGGCATATCGGGTGGCAGCTCCCAAGAGGGTTTCTGTGATCCAACCCATCACAGTCAGTATCAGGCAAATTAGTTGAAACAATAGTAAAGAATAAAATTGTCAGACACATAGAAGAACATAAATTGTTGGGCAAAAGTCAACATGGTTTCTGTAAAGGGAAATCATGTCTTACTAAACTATTAGAGTTCTTTGAAGGGGTCAGCAAACATTTGAACAAGGGGGATCCAGTGGACATAGTGTACTTAGATTTCCAGAAAGCCTTTGACAAGGTCCCTCACCAAAGGCTCTTATGTAAATTAATTTGTCATGGGATAAGAGGGAAGATCCTTTCATGGATTGAGAACTGGTTAAAAGACAGGGAACAAAGGGTAGGAATAAATGGTAGATTTTCAGAATGGAGAGGGGTAACTAGTGGTGTTCCCCAAGGATCAGTCCTAGGACCAATCCTATTCATAAATGATCTGGAGAAAGGGGTAAACAGTGAAGTGGCAAAGTTTGCAGATGATACTAAACTGCTCAAGATAGTTAAGACCAAAGCGATTGTGAAGAACTTCAAAAAGATCTCACAAAACTAAGTGATTGGGCAACAAAATGGCAAATGAAATTTAATGTGGATAAATATAAAGTAATGCACATTGGAAAAAATAACCCCAACTATACATACAATATGATGGGGGCTAATTTAGCTACAACTAATCAGGAAAGAGATCTTGGAGTCATTATGGATAGTTTTTTGAAGACGTCCACGGAGTGTGCAGTGGCAGTCAACAAAGCAAACAGGATGTTAGGAATCATTTAAAAAGGGATAGAGAATAAGATGGAGAATATCTTATTGCCATTATATAAATCCATGGTAAACCCACATCTTGAATACTGCATACAGATGTGGTCTCCTCATCTCAAAAAAGATATACTGGCATTAGAAAAAGTTCAGAAAAGGGCAACTGAAATGATTAGGGGTTTGGAACAGGTCCCATATGAGGAGAGATTAAAGAGGCTAGGACTTTTCAGCTTGGACAAGAGGAGACTAAGGGGGATATGATAAAGGTATATAAAATCATGAGTGGTGTGGAGAAAGTGAATAAGGAAAAGTTATTTACTTGTTCCCATAATATAAGAACTAGGAGCCACCAAATGAAATTAATGGGCAGCAGGTTTAAAACAAATAAAAGGAAGTTCTTCTTTACACAGCGCACAGTCAACCTGTGGAACTCCTTGCCTGAGGAGGTTGTGAAGGCTAGGACTATAACAGGGTTTAAAAGAGAACTAGATAAATTCATGGAGGTTAAGTCCGTTAATGGCTATTAGCCAGGATGGGTAAGGAATGGTGTCCCTAGCCTCTGTTTGTCAGAGGGTGGAGATGGATGGCAGGAGAGAGATCACTTGATCATTACCTGTTAGGTTCACTCCCTCTGGGGCACCTGGCATTGGCCACTGTCGGTAGACAGGATACTGGGCTGGATGGACCTTTGGTCTAACCCAGTATGGCCGTTCTTGTGTTCTTATGTTCTTAAACTTCTCCTTCAGAGAAACCCCCAAAGAAGTGCCCTTTTTGAAACTGGTCATTTGTTCTGATGAGAGTAAAACCAAGAAAGATTGTTTTTCCCAGGCTCTTTAGGAGGCATAGAGCCCAATGCTATTGAGAATGGCCACCTGAGGACAACCGATGGCTTCAGGCTCATTGAGAACAATGGGAGATGGCAGTCGTTTTGAAAGAGGGCAGCTCTGGTTGGAATTCTCTGTAGCGGAAGTTTATTGTCCAGCCTCTGCTGAAGGAGAAACTTGCAGTTATCAAGACTAATTGGAAAAAAATTATCAGTCCTTTAAAACCCACCAAAAGAGGCCTATGCACAAGATTTCTGTGAATTTAAACTATGTGGGGAGCTTGAAGCGTCTGTGTATTGTTATTGAGCTAATTTGGGACAAAAAATCAGTTTGATACATACTAAATTTTTAAAAGACCCAACTTGTTATTAATTTGAACTCCTAAACTAATTAATGGGTTTACTTGTAAATTCTCAGAAAATTTAACCTATTTTCAAAGAGTAATTGTGTAAAAGAGTAGTGTATGATGTTTATACATTACAAAAGAGTTGAATCTCAGCTTTAAGTGCAAAACTTCTAAACTACGGAGCTGCAATTGGTACTTCCATAATAACCTTGCTGGGGACTGTGGTTTTGTGACCACTTCACCAAAGTATTTTTATTATTGGTTTTGGTGATCTTTATAACTTATTTATACAGCAACCTAAAGTGTGCTAGGTAAATGATATAGACTGGACCAAAGAAAACCATTACATATGTAACAGAGGAGGGAACCTATGGAGTTGTATACATAAATAAATAGGAATTTCAGGGTAACCATGACTAATCTTCAGACAGGCTCTACTACAGCCACCAGCAAGGAGTAAATTCAGTGTGAGGTTATATGGCAGAAGTAGAGGAAGTGTTAAGGATAATAGGTTGGTATAGTCTTTGCACTCACCCACTAGAAGGAGACATAATTATAAGCCAATATATTATTATGTAAGGTGAAATGTAGTTCTTATCGCTACATCTAACTAGAGATAGACTCACTGAAAGCCCGGAATCCAAATGTAGAGATGTCCCCTCATCACTATATTGAAGTAAACCAAAACTCAGCATCTGAACACCCTCTGGCAGGGTACCTGCTTCACCTCGTCCCTGGGTAGGGGGAAGGTCCTTTAGCCGTGCGTGGGCTTGTGCACGCCCACTTCCTGGAACCCAACAGGACTGCTCTCTTATGTCCGTCAAGACTGACTTTTTCACAACCCCCAAATTTTGGAGAAGTTTGGATTCAAATTTTGCGCCAAAAGTCCACTTCTAATTATATATTACATGGGACTTCCAACTGAGTTTAACAGCAAGGCTGTAAATGCTTTGAAAATGTAAAGCACTACAGAGATGGTAAGTATTAATAGTTATTAAGCACTGGATTTAAACTCCAATGAAAGTTTTATGTAGATAGGGCCTAAAGAAAATATTAAAATACATCTAATATTACAAAGAATTTATAAACAATGAACCACCATCTCAATAGTCCATTGATGTAGGTTAGGACATAAAGAACTGCAACTCTGTTTATGGAATGGGATATCATAGATTCTTAAAAGTGTTTTAAAGTAAAATTCTGTAATTGTTGTTGTTATCAATATTATAGCATCCATGGTAGAGGCAGCAGAGTCTAAAGTTGTGATTGAATTCCAACTGTCATTATAACTCCTGCTTTTTCATTGCTCAGAACTTCCTTAAACAAATTCCTTTGGGGTGGGAATTTTCCTAGAAAGTTTGAGTAAAATCTTTACAGCTGTTGTTGAGTGGTGGCTTTCTACAATTATTTACTGAGTTGAATTAATAAGTATGAATACAATTGTATATGAGTTTTATGTACTTGCTGACCACAAAGGAATTATTAAACTGAGGAAAAATAATAAATAGAATTTGAACCATATGGGCAGAGTTACATCTATGCTGACCCAGTTGCTGGATCAGGGCCTTTTAAAATAGATTTTGCATCCATCAGTTTCCATAACAAAAACTATAGCCTTATATCCTGCAAAGACAATGAGACTAAACGTGTGCCTAAATCTTCGTGGGATTGAGGCCTTAATGAGATTAATTTTATTCACCCTGGAAAAGGAAGAAATACTTCCAAATTTGTATTTTTACCACTTTATTTGAACAAAAAAACCCCCAGACAGTTTGCATTACTGCAAAGTCATAATTTCCTAAGGATAAGATGATCGGAAACATTAAAAATAAAATCAAAAGAGAAGAAACACTACAAAACACACACTATTTTTCATTCACAAGTTAAAGGAGGTCAAAAAACTCCAGCCTCCCCTACCACTTCGTTATGTGCTATCTGTACCAGAACCAGTGGATTGAAATTACTGTAGTTTCGTGTCGGGTGTAATTTGATCTCAGCATCTGGGGGTGGCGCTTTGCATTGTGGTAGTTGTAGTCATTTTTCCTTTAAGCGACTATTAACTGTTGACGCGAAGAGAATTTCTGTGAACTACAGTTCCCAAGGCTTCGTAGTATTTTTTTCCAGGGACCTTTGCAAACGCAATGGCGAGGAAGTTGCAAATGTCAGCGAGCAAAGGGTAATGTAGGTTTCTCAAAGTAAATCAACAAGGTAAAAGCAAAACTCAAAGTCAGAGATTGCTCTAATTCTATTTCATTATAAGGGCTGCACCTTTCGTGCACACACTATGCATGTGTTGCTTAGGTGCAGACTACAGTAGGATAGATCTATGCAGTAATCAAGGGACGCTTTAGTTCATCTAATCTAGATCTTAGTTTGTTGGTAACATATTAAGACTTGTTTTCCCTCATCATGTTTTCTGCTTCGTTTATGCGAGTTATTCAATGCAGCGAGAAGTTACAAGGCTCGCCAGGAAAGTGGTTACTTGCACCCCATGGGAAGATGTTTCTAAGGACTTGGCGGTGTTTTAGGTGGGGGCAGGAATTTGCCCACAGAGAATCTGTGTTGCGCCCTCGTATGATTTTCCAAGTTGCTAAACAAAATATCTGGACCCAGGAGGGGTCCCTGAGAGCTGGGAATAAAAGCAAACAAGTGTCTGTGCAAAGAAGTCAAAAAGGAGGAGCACCCGTGTCGGCTGCTCAGAAAGGTAAGTGGGCCTATGGCCAGTCTTAATTAGGAGCAACATGCATTGTTTTTAGAGGCTGTTGCTGCAGGAACTAGCTGCAGCCTTGCAATTGAGATTTTAGACACCCAGAACTGAGGAATTAAAAATTGTGGTTCCCACAGCTGCAACTTGTTCCCTGTACACATTGCATTATTTTGCGTGACTTCAAACAATGTTAACTTTTAACTTGTATGTGTATATTACACACACAGAGGGTAAAATTTTGCTTGGGGTCCCACTTACAGCTCTTCTTGACTTTATTGGGAATGGTATCTGTATATATGAGGGAAGAATCTGATGCATCAAGTGTTTGAGGATGTGGGAGGACTCTGAATACATGTCTACATTAGAGAAAAAATAAAGTCCATGTGTTGCTAATTCAAGTTCAACTTTAATGATGTTATTAGCAATAGGGACTTTGTTTTTTGGAAAACTTTCCTGTTGTAAATGCTTGACAAACTGGACAATACTGCTCCAGTTGTGCAAATTTAGGCTTGTATTTTGTATGCCATCACACACTTTCTAATGCATACTAAACCGCTGAGTGGCAGGCCTCTTATATTTAGACTAATTGGAGTAAGCCTAATATATTTTGTAGGATCATCTTAAGTAATACACGGTGCCTCTCCATCTATCCCCCTTGTGTAAGTTTACCACTACATTCCCATTCCCTTGCTTTTTGCCTGCCTGCAGTCAGCTTTTGGTATCCCCATGGAACAGGAAGCCAGGAGATGAAGTAAAAGTACATTTTCCAAGCAGAGAGTCCACACGAAGACTCTCAGGGTTAAACCTCTGCTTCTACAAACTCTTCTAAAATCATTTTCTTCCTCCAATGCACACATCAAATTTTCTTATTGATATCATAACAAAATATTTTTTCTTTTAGTTTGGGTGGGAAGGAAGGGCTTTGTATCTAATAATTTCCACATCTATGTATTGGATTGATATTTGATATCAGTTTCATCAATCCCTATCTAATATGGAAATTGTAACTCACTTTTGTGGATTTCTTCCATATGGCCACAACAATGGTCTTAGATTGAACATCATCCATCAATTCAAATGGAAAAAAACTGAATGGAATATAGAGGTGACTCAAACTCTTAGACAATGAATTCCAATTCAGTGATATTAGTGCCCATATAAATTCTATGTCCATGTGATTTCCTGAAGATTAAGACTGGCTGGGTTTAATGACCTAAGAGAGCAGTTTCCAAACATGGTCCATTTGCTGGTTGCCAGCAGAGTTGGCTGATCACATGGTACTGGCTCCTTCTTTACAACTGGTACATCTTAAAAATAGTGAACGCTTTCCTAATAGTGCATTTCCATGTACATAATTAATATATTGTAGTTGCCACCGACGTTGTCATTTGATCACCAGTGGAAGGGGAGGCAGTCCATGTTGTTCCAAATGGGAAGGAAGATGGCCCATAAGAGACTTTGATGTAGTCCATGTTTGGAGATCCCAAGTTTGAGGTGTCTCAACTAGGTATTAATCCCCAGGAACTGCCTTGGGAATTCATGATTCTTTGCTTAAACCTTCAATAGAATAAATAAATACAATGCTAAACAATGTAATTTTATTTCTCTGAGGCCAAGGAGGTTCCACTTTCATTGATAGACATAAGTGAATATCAGAATGTAATGTCTTAATTGATCTTGAATGCTTTGAGTGTCTGTCAAGCAGTTACAATATGTAGCTTTTGTTACAGTAAGCCAATTTAGTTCCCTAAAGGCTCTAGCAGTTTTTTCTGTTTAGTTCCACTGCTAGTGAAATAAAAATGAAATACTTTGCTTAGTGGTAGAGTAGGACGAGAGGGCTTTTCTTGGAATTATAGTAGTTTAGTTATCTTCTAACATTATTATTATTATTTATTATGGTTGTAATTATGTAATGTATGACAGTTCCATCATATGACCTCTAGTTCCTCCCATTCATTCCTTTGAGCAAGAAGTGATTGTTACACAGCTTCAGAAAGTGAAAGGGCTTTTCTTTGGATAAAACCTTCTCAGCTGATAAGGCGGCTGTGGAAAGTGGGAGGAAAAGAGGTTATTAAACTTTCCTCACTAATTTGGACTTTGCTAAAAAGCACAATTTATAATCCACACAAATTGGTGATCTCTTCCCACTTCTCAAGAAAGATTTTATAGCAGAGGTTGTAATAAGGTCTCATAATAACCTCTTACTCTTGTACATGATGAAATATTATAAATAAATTACAATTGACTAAAAAAAGTATATGCTTTTGTGGCATCCTTGCTTTTTATTGTTCACGTACTTGGTAATTCCTCATTCACAGTCTTTGTCAGTAGTGTTGACTCTTTCCCCCATACTTTTGTTAAAAATTTGCTATAAATGAATGTTATATTGTAACTTGAATACTTTGCAGCTGAAATGTATTACTAAAACTTAAAAGAAAATGACTTTGTATTTCAACATGAGAGCAATAGCACAGGTTGTTCTGGGTTTAAACTAGTTGAAAGGTTTAATAAAAAATTCTGCTGGAACTGACAAAAACTTTTCATGGTCTCTTTATTTTACTAGTATGACAGAAGGAATGGACTAAAAGCTGACTTTTTCCCCCCTTATCAATATGAGACCTACTTACCAAAATGCTAATTGAATCTTAGACTGGCACATAGAAGAGAAGAAAATTATTTATATGATACACTTATGCTAATCTTATTAACTGACATTGTAACTACTATATTTTTTCTCTCTATTACAGTGAAAGAAGCTGGAAGGGATTTTACCTACTTAATAGTGGTGCTCATTGGGATTGGTGTTACAGGTTATATAAAAAGCTGTATGCCCTATAAATATTCTTTATTTATTGTTCATCAGATTAGATTAGTTCTCATTTTATTTGCTTTTGTTTCCCTCTATTTCAGGTGGTTTGTTCTATGTGATTTTTACAGAACTATTCTCTTCCTCCAGTCCCAGTAAGATTTATGGCGATGCCTTGGAGAAATGCAGATCTCACCCAGAGGTTGTTTTTCAAACCTAAATTACAGTTTCACAGTTGAACCAAAGGATTTCTTATTAATTGCTGTCTTTCAGATCTTCCATTCAAAGAGCATGTACCATTAAGCTCCAAAGAAAATTCCAGTGGACTCAGTCACACACATAATTCCACTCAATATAGTGGGAATTGGTGCCCACTAAAATACACCATGTAGTTTCTGACTGCTTTCTTCACCAAATGATATACTCTTCTTATTTATAGTGTGGTACTGCACAAGAGTCTCATTAAGATCAGAACACCATTGTGCTAGGTGCTATACAAATCTGCAGGAAGACATGGCCCCCCTCACCCAAAAAACTTAGTGTAATTTGAAACAAAGTGACTTTAACAAATAGTAGAAGGGAGGGAAGGATGAAGTTAACAGTAATAAGACCATGCAGTTGTGTAGGTTAGCTAGATATAAATAAAAATAAACTCAGAGCTAAACGTTAAAAATCACATTTTCAGATAAAGCCATAAATGTGTGTAATAGCCTTCCAGACAAGATTACTAAAGTGTCAGTGGGATTCATCTAGAAATATCAAAAATATTAGAAAGATAAAAATAGAGATCTATACTTTGGAACTAGGCTTATAAAAATGATAACCTCATTCTGGTGCCATACTGCAAAATCATGCTTCCTCTCTGATCTGACTAAACTAAGTTTGAAAACCTGGCTGATTTTTTTGCTGTGCTTTGGAACCAGATTTATAGAAATGACAAAACCTTTTGTTTCTAGTTTTTAATAAAAGGAATCATTGCTATTTTATTAGATTATTAGATTACTTTTTAAACTACAACTTTGAAATATCCGAGACAATGTCTCTGATGAGATGGGAGTGCATTTTGCTTTTTCTTTCTTTATATAGTAAACTTGGGAAGACTAAAGTCAATAATATACATACAGTACACGTAAAAGTTAGAATTCTGTCAGCTAAGATAGAGGCTCATAATGCAGATCTTTATAGGATTTTAAGGATAATTGAATAATCTAGTTTATAAAGAAATCCATTGAAATATAGAAATACTATTTGATATGAATCTGCTGCTGTCTTCTAGTTTGTTTCCTAAATTCTTGGGTTGTCACTGTCATAGTATACTAGAAACATCTAGTGAAACGAAAATTATTTCAGATGAGGAGGTGGGATGACACTGGAGTATCTGTTTGAATGTGACCCTTTAGACATGCTATACCTCATCTCTATTCTTTTTCTTAGGTAATAGGTGTTTTTGGTGAACCCATTAAAGGTTATGGTGAGCCAACGCGACGAGGAAGACGACAGCTTGTCAGGTACTTGTTTGCATTTGTTCTGTACAAACACCTATTTCTGCAAAGACGCTTTGGGCCAAGGTTACATCTAGACTAACTTAGCTGCATAGGATATATTTGATCTGTCATTTATAAAAGGAACTGAGCAATCTCTTTTGCAGGGCTACTTACATGGCACAGGTAGCAAGTGTTTGCTAGGGTTAAAGAACATTTGAGAACAATTTTAGGTGGAAGATTTTTTCCAAGTTCATCTTTCTCAGGGCACAGAATTTGAGTTATTAGGGTTGCAAACAGAGTGCCAATATCTTTCATCTTCTATTTATAGTTATGCTGATCATTTAACCCGCAGAATTATTTGTATAAATTGTAAAGTATTATGCGGGGGGAGGGGGGGAGTCTGTTTTGTTTAAAGAGTAGCTAGACTCTGTTTCCTGAACTGCCACCTAGAAGAGCATTTTATTTTTAAAGGAAGAGAAAAGTCTGGAAAGGCTCTTTAAAAAAAAAAATAAAAAAAAAAAAAAAAAAAGTAACAGTCAAGGACAGGTTTATTTTCCTTGTCCTAAATGTAAAGATGCACGAAGGTCCTCTGTCCCAATTGGTCTAATTCCTTCTCTTGTAAGACTGGCAGGAAACTAAAGAAACACCTTAGTGGTAGAATACTAAATCGAACATGCTTTGTAAAAGCTTTAATACTGGGGGTTGGGACCCTCAGGGAGTCATGAGGTTACTACATGGTGGGTCACAAGCTGTCAGCCCCCACCCCAGACCCCACTTTGCATCCAGCATTTATAATGGTGTTAAATATATTTAAAAGTGTTTTTAATTTATAAGGGGGGTCGCACTCAGTGGCTTGCTATGTGAAAGGGGTCACCTGTACAAAAGTTTGAGAATCACTGCTTTATTATGATATAGCAGAATGTCTGTTTATATCCAACACTGACCACTTTTCAGTCATATAGTTCCTTACATTTGATGCTATGCATATACTATACACTAATCATTTTGATCTCACACAACACCTTTGAAATGGATGTAGTCCTCTGAAAGTGTGAGAATCTATTACATTCCCACTTCTTTCTTATTTGTCATATTCACTTGATCTAGCTCTTCTTAAATTAAATTAGAAGCACTTTGGGAGCATGGACTTCTTATGGCTTAGTACAGTGCCCAACACGATTAGATCTCAATCCCCACTCGGGCCTTTGGGCTTCAGTTTACCAAAATGGATTTAGTGTGAGGCAGATTGATGGGCCTGCATAGAAAAACTGAACCCCAAAATTGAGATTTTTTTTTTTAAAGGAAAATAATTTTTCTCCCAGTTAAAGATTGGGGTTTTTTTTTACCAGATTGTGTGTCAAAAATGCTGCTCACAGTTGAGCTGCTGAATACTAAAATGTAAAAGGGAAGTTTTAAGCATCTATCCATAAAAACAGGAACTGTCCCTTCTCAGGCCATAGCTGAATGAAGAGGTAATTGGTTCCGTCTGACGAAGTGGGTATTCACCCACGAAAGCTTATGCTCCAATACAGCTGTTAGTCTTAAAGGTGCCACAGGAGACTCTGTTGCTTTTTACAGATCCAGACTAACACGGCTACTTGGTTCCTATGATTTCAGTTCCAACTTTTTGCTAGCTGTGCATTTTTTAAAGTTATTTTTGAGTCAGGACTTTTGAGGAAGGTTGCAATCAAGTCTGTGGCCTGATCCATGATCTCACGTGTCTCAGAATACCTATGGGCCTGCTCACTGGGTATATGTTTGGTTCTCTGGATTTTCTGAACCCAAAGTTACCAGAATGGGGAGCTCCTTCACTAGCATAAAGGTAATTAATTAGATCCCACTGGGAGATGCTAGTGACCTCAAGAGAAGTAGTTCCAAGCAGGAGGAACTAGCTATGTAGTGCAACCATGCCTGATAATGTTTTGACTTACTCCACACTCCTGGTTGGCTGTTGAGTAGTAAGAGTCCAGCAAAATGAAGCTTTTAAGATTTGACATCTACAAGCAAGTAATCTTTAGTCAGCCACCATGTCTATCAAAGTTAAATTTCAGATCCAATAAAACCACTGACTTTTGTGGTTTTTTTTGTTTTTGTTGTATTTTGTTTTGTTTTTCTTTTCCAACCATGTACCGGCTTCCTGAAGCTGAATAAAACCACAGTCAACAACCATTATACATAAGCATTAATTTTTGTTTTCCAATCTTTAATAGTAGAGTAACATATCTACTTCAGCATTCTTGCTCTTGATTTTAACTCCCAACGGACGACTGATATTGAATGCACATGTGTATGGCTAGAATCCACAGAATTTATCTGAAAATGGGGCCTACACAGTAGTTCCTCAGATATCTAAAATGGTCCTAGGTTAAACAACTTTCCTGTCTAAAAGATCATGCCAGTGTCTCTTGAAAGCACTGGAATACATCCCCTCCCAACATAGCTAAGCAACTTTTCTAGGTGAGAGTGTTAACTCAAATCCAATTCATTAAAATAGCAAGAAGGCCACACAGTTTTTTAAAAAGTGCAGTCTGGCACCTTTTCCTTAAACTGTCTTATGTCTAACAAGTGAGAGTTAAGACCTTCTGTCTATTCAATTACAATCTGGCATTGAGATGTAGGTAAGATCATACATTGAGACAAAATTGCTGTCCGTACAGATGTTTCACTTCACATAATAGTGCCTGCAATGTACATTGTTTCTCAAACTGCAATACACAGAATGTGTAACAGGTTTCCTTGTTCCTTTTTCTTAGTCACTTTGAGTATGTAAAAAATGGATTGAAATACATGCGCTTGAAGTTCTACATTGAGGGCTCAGAACGGGGAAAGCAAGGGACAGTCCATGTGGAAGTGAAAGAGGTAAAATTGTCTCAATTAGTTATACAGTCAACAAGCATCACCTGACGCTTAAACTACTAAAGGGGAAAAAATAACACTTGCATGTTTTTCCTTATTACAGAATCCTGAAAGCAGAAGATATGAGTACCGTTACATATTTGTGGACATTGAGGCCTACCCTAGAAGAACCATTGTAATTGAAGATAATAGATAGTAACTTGGTTCTTTCACTGTGACAGTTCTTGAAGAGTGCTGAATGATGCACAGTCAGTGTACAAATGAATGCCGAGTGATGCAGCATACATCTACAATTTCACAACCTTACTCCCTTACTTACATCCGTGGAATCTCATTGAAGGTACTGGGGTTGCACAGGTGTAACTGGGGCCAGTAGAGAGTTGGAAGTATAATAGGATTTGAAGTGAACCAAATTTTAAAATAGTGTCCTCCTTTATCACAAAAAGGCATGAGATAGGAAAGAATAGTTATACAATGAATTTAATACTGGATAGTATTTCTACACAGAACCCCTAATATTGTCTTCCAACACTTCAAAGTTATTTTTCTTTTGTTTATATTTCACAACAGCACTTCAATAAAGAATGACATACAAAATGTAGAAAAATAAATGTTCATTTATGTGCAGCCACTGTGTTTGATAGTGAGATAAAATGAGAAGATATCAGCAATGCAAGGAGACTTTATTGCAGATGCAGCTATAAATATGCATCACAGTATTGCGTGGCCCGACAAGATGAATTAGGATGAAAGGCAATAAAATTTAGCAGCTTCTAAGAAGTCTCAATAGAATGAGGGAGGTACAAACTTCTGAGCTAGTCAGACATATAGGACCTGGTCCTGGCACTAACCTAGCAGAGAGGACTTGATCGTAGTACTCAGTACTGTGGGGATTTTGGACTGCAAAGCAGTCCCTATATAACTATGGGGAGTAGTTGTATGGCAAAACTTCATATTGTGGCCACTGTCTATTAGATGGAAAACAATGCCACTTTGGTACCGGGTATCTCCTTGATCATCAGGCGCTTTAGAGACCAGGCCAAAATGACTAGTAACAAACCTTCAGAGCTGCAGGTCTTCATGCTTTAGTTGTGGTGCCTTAGTTCTGAATCACTTTCCCCTATTTGATGAGGCAAATCTCTCTGCTCTTCAGAGGAGGCTTAAGGGACTCTTGTTGTTTAAATGACCAATAAAAAAGCCAAATTGATTCCTCCACCCTTTGCTTCACTTCTGTACAATGCTCTGTGCCACAGCATGTGTTACAGGCTAAGGAAGAGGGTTTGTTTTTTTAAATGGGAGCCTGTGTATGATGGGGGCACAAACCCCACAAAGGTGAGGGTTAAGGAGCTGCTCTGGCCACAGGAAGTCACACCCCTTTACCGCTGCTGGGCCTGATCCTAATGAAGGGAAGAGTTCAAAAAGGAGCAGCTCAGTCTAGACTGACTGAACAGGAGAGCAGTTTGGTGCTGCAGCCTCCAGCGGAGAAGCCACCGGAGCTCCAAGCAACCAGGCCCAGGCCTCACAGTCAAGCTGCTGCAAGCCTTTCAACAGTGGAGGCCAAGGGTGACACGTTTCTGCAGATAAGGGAAGATGCTTTGGAGCATGACCTGAAAAGACAGTGAGGGGAACCCCAAGACAGACCTGTCGCACAGATGGACAAACAGAATCGGGTAGGAAGTGACGCAGGGAACAGGCATAAGGGCATCCACCCTTACGCCATGTATCTGGCCCATTGTTAGGAAGGATCCTGGGTTGGAACCTGATGCAGCAGGATGGGCTCAGGTTCCCCTACCCCCCACCATCGGCTCTCTCCCTTGGGCGACACCGCCACTGGCTCTAGCTGCTAAGCCAGGCAGCCAAAACTCTTGCCATTGGATGACGTTATCACTGGCTCTAACCACTCGGCAAAGTGGCCACAGACTCTCGCCGTTGGGCAGCAGTCTGGAGTATTGTCCCCACAACACTAAGTATATTGGAGGTTTGTATAAAATTCATATTAAATTTTTTCAGGTTGATTTTACTAGTTGAAGGAGCATATACCATCCCATAATTAGAAACACACTGAAGGTAACTAAGAGAAAGTATAAATGTTATATCCACATCATACTACAGAGTTCAAACCAAGTGCACAAAAGGGAATAGGGCAGTTTGTGCATGTAAACAGTACCATGAGCTGACTAGGTTGATGGTCCCTTGGGAAAACATAGGGAAATAATTCCAATGAAACAGCTTACTGCCCCAAATATACTCCATAAATGCCAGTTTGTTGAATTCTAGTGCTAGAAAACTGGCGTCCATTTTGTCCAGTTTAAAACATTTATTACCAAAGCATCATTTAAAAACTAGAATATAAAGCTATGCTCCCAGGGATTCCATACTTTTGCAAAGGAAGCCAAGGGGTGTGCACGACTAAAAAATCATGAAGTAACAGCTTTAAAGATAAATTTCAGGTTTCAAAGTAGCAGCCGTGTTAGTCTGTATCCGCAAAAAGAACAGGAGTACTTGTGGCACCTTAGAGACTAACAAATTTATTAGAGCATAAGCTTTCGTGGACTACAGCCCACTTCTTTTGTCCACGAAAGCTTATG